GTGTACATTTTAAATGCCTTGCTGTCTTGTCAGTTTTGTTAGCTGACTGAAATATGCATAATGACATCTACTGGACTGAATTGTAAAAGGAATAGCTTTTTATTTGGCATGCTGACATATTTCATTTGTTTATCAGTATTGAGGGAAGAGGCGGCCTAGTGGTTAGGGCATAGAGCTTGGAATCCTGAGGTTCTGATTTTGAGCCCCACTGGGTTCCTGAGCAAAAAACCATAACACCACACTGCTCCCTAGGCAACGCACAATGGCAGCCCACTGCTCCCCAAGAGAATGGGTTACATGCAGAGTTAATTTCGTTGCTCTGAACTTGTGACAGTGTAGTGACATTAAAAGATGGAGAGAGATATCTAACAATGGAGCACATGTTTTGGTAATTATTCAAAACTGATAATAACTTAATGGTTAAGGGTTATAACAGCCGCAGAATCAGATCCAATTGGCTCTCCTCCATGCTTGATAGTTTACTGGTTGTTGAACGATCAAGCATGGAGTAGGAGAGGACCAGGGATCAAGTCTAATTCTGAAGCTGATACAACCTTGAAGTTGCTGCAGAATGTTTGGGGTTTTTTTCTGCACAACTTTTTTTGGTCTTACTTGTTCACAAATAATGTTTCTAGTTTAGTCGGACACGTCTACACCCATAGCTATTGCAAAAAGGAAAAGGCTTTTACTTGCAAGTTTTGTCAAAATAACCTATAAAAAAATAAAACCTGTTACATATTCACTATCGGTGTTGTATGTTAAAGGTACAGTGTTAATGGAACACTTGATCAGTCTATTTCAATTAAGCAAGAGGTAGTTCCTCCAAAGAGTTGTTAATCTGCTGAGTTAAATCCCAAATCTCTGCTAAAAGTGTTGATTTTAAAATAAAAACTTTTTTTCCCCCAGTTTTTCTCTGTCATGTTTACTGTTTTGCAAGAGTGTTGCTTTTTTTTTTTTTTTTTTTTTTTTTTTTTTTAAGGTTACATAATAAAAATGGAACAGCACATACAAACAAAATAACTTAGCAGGTCATTAACATAGCAAAGAAGTGAGGGAAAATAACTCCCAACAATAGCAGCATTAGACACATGTATGTGAACGGGGTAAGTAATAGTAGGTTTTGCTTATTGTAGGTCCACATATCTCTGCATTCCTGCACAGATCAGCGTCTTATTCGAGTCAAAGTCCAGTCCCAAAAGCCTTCAATGGTCTAGTCAACTTTTGTAGAAAATTATCCATCCTTCTGTCAATATAATATCCCAGTTTTATCCAAGAACGTCAAGAAGCAACTACTTCCATATGGCGATGTAGGTGGGCTCATATCTGAAATTCTTGGATACTTTTAATTACAGCGGTTAGGGATTAAGTTGCTTCTGTTAAGATTAACAGGACGTAGTCTGCATATAGGAGAGTTTTGTTTTGTCTCATGCCAATGGTTAGTCCTCGAATATTTAAGTTTTGTCTAACAGACATAGAAGGCATGATTGCCAGAGAAAGTAGATGGGATAGCAACTCCCTTGAGATTGACCTCTGATTAGTTTAAAAAGAGTCGATAAGAGACCTTTTGTTAAAATGAAAGCATTGTTAGCTCTGTATGAAAGTTTGACCCAAGTCACATAATTTGGTCCAAATCCAAATCTTTTCATTATCTCAAGCCTATATTCCCACTCCATTCTATCAAATACTTTCTTTGCATCAATAGAAACAATAGGCCCAGCCAGGAATGTGATTATCATTCAAATAATGCATGATATTAAAGAATTCTTGTGTTGTTTAATAAATGCTGTCTGGTCTACAAATGCTAGAACCTGCTCTAGCCCATTAGCCAATATTCTAGACAACAGAACAATTAGCTGATAGGAGGAACATAGTTCTGGATTCTCATTTATCTTGGCTATTAGTGTGGTATACTCTGTAAATTGATTCTGAAAGTCTTAATTTGTCAATGTATTTATTGAAAACCCTCAACAACAAGTTTCTTATTCTCCATTTTAATATTGTGAAAAGTTCACTTGGAAAGCAGTCAGCTCTCGGTCATTTCCCTGACTGGAGTACTGAGATAGCCTTGTCCACTGCCTGATGGGATATAGGGGATACCAGAATGGTAACCAGTTTCTCTGGTATTTGTGCAAAGATCAATTCATTAAAAAAACACAATCATATCAATCTCTTACATAAATTGGTATAGAATTCATTTAAGCTATCATTAATCCACTGATTATTTATTTGTCTTTGATTATTACAGCTGGAATAATGGATTTCAACAGGGTATTTCTTAAAAGTCTTTCCAAGAGGCAATTGAGTCTATATCCTATGTCAAACATTTGTTGTTTAGTGAACATCATTTTCAGCTTTCTTTGTTATTAGATAACATGATTTGGTTCTCGTGGATGTGAGCTTAGTGTTTATCTCTAGTGTTTTTGTTCAATAATAAACCTCTTCTAGCTGTTTTATTTTATTTTTTAGCTTAACTTGTTCAGCCAAACATTGTTTTTTAGTATAGCTTGAGTATGAGATAATTATTCCCCTAATGTAGGCTTTATAACTGTCCCATAATATCCTAAGGTCAATGTTGTCTTTATCATTTTGTTCCAAAGGATATGGAAGTACAAAACCTTTGCCCCTCGAGAAGATAATAAAGGTTAGATTGGAGGTTACAAGAGAGATGGTATAAAAAAAGGGGGTTTAAACTAATGGTATTTGGAAAGATTACTCAAAAACAGGAATTATTTAGACAACAGGTAAAAGCATTAGACATAGCATTCCAGGAAAAAAGCATTAAGGTTGAAGTGTTATGCTTTGAGGATGCTTAGCGTTAACTAGTTAAAGGACAAGCTGAGAGCATAGAAATGGGAACCATGGCCTACAAACATATATTTGTGGTGAACATCCTGAAACATTCCACCCTGGGCAAATCTGTGTTCACTACTTTCCACTGATAAGCATTTTTTCTTGTTATGAAACTTTGCACTTCAAATTGTTTTCAAATCGCCTTCTAAACTCCTTTGTAATTATAGGTAGCAACTACGGATATGTTGATACAACTTTTTTATTTCTGATATGATACTGATACTGCATCCTGAAGTATTACGCAATACCGATATTGACCAGATACGATATCAACATAAACCATATACACTTTTATAACTCATTTTGTAGCGTGGATGCTAGAAAAGTTTGATCAGATGACATATAACTGATTCATGTATTATTAACCAATTGCATACAAAATCTTTAAATGGAAGTGTTTCTTGAAGATTTTAGTTTCAAGCTGTATACATACAGTATATATGGTCAATTTCTGTGTAATATCAGAATGATTTCCAATATCACTATGGGATCAGGGCATCTCTAGTAGCAACAGTTACTTCCCTAAGGTTATTGTTGTGTTGACACAAAAATTTGAATGCACTTGACCAAATGTTTTTTTCACTTTCAATTCGGGTAAAATTTCTACATCTCTTGAACACATAGGCTGCTTTTGCATTTTGACTTATAGTGCATGCACTTGATAGTGCATGGACCAGATATTAGTTAAAAAATAAAGATGTAAATATTTTTGATGTACAGTCTATATGAAATTGTTACTGGGTGTGATTTCACTGGTTCTTAGAGGCCAGTGGTTCTTTTGAAAAGACTGTCTCCCAATGATGGTGTAACTAATGGAAAACAAAGACCATAAACTACAGCACCTAGCAAGCTCTCAAGAACCTAAATGGTTATTAAACATATGTGAAGCCTCCTTTATCATTAACTTTGTGTTGTTGGACTCTTTTCCCCAGAGATGTTGCTTTACAGGAAACATAAGTGGGCTAGCCTTACTGTTGGAGGTTTTTGATGAAACCCAGCAAAAAGTAGTATACTTGAAGTAAATTCTATTAAGAATACTTAATTCAATACAATTCAATTCAGTTTATTTATATAGTGCCAATTCACAACACAAGTCATCTCAAGGCACTTTACAGTTCAACCAGATCATACAGTCAAAGTATAAGTTTAGAAAGTGTACAGAACAATGTACTTTTAGTGTACTTGAATTATTAGTAAAGTAATACTTCTTTGAACTAAATTGGGACATTTTTAAGTTTACTAAAGTATACTTTAGTAAACAATAAAGTAAACAATAGTATAGTTAATGAGTATATGAAATATAGTTTAGAATAAGTAAACTCTAAGTGCACTGCCTGATTGTATGAAATTAGCGCATTTTTAGTACACTTGAATAAACTACTTTTTGCTAAGTGACGTGCTGCCTGCAACACAGAGTTCTTCAGATTACATGTTCAAAGATTCACTTGGTTATGCCAAAGTGCATTCTTACTGCTTGACAAAAGTGTTCATGACTCTTGAATTTTTTTATGCTTTGTTGTGTTTCATACTTTATAGACTGACACAAGCAGGCTGGGCAAGGGATGCACAGCTTAGCTAAAATAATTTGTTGACAGGACAGGTGTTCGCCTTGGAGTCAACAAATAAAGACTTTATTTACGAAGGTGTTACGGAGAAAGTTCTTATTGAAAGGAAGCAGGCTGATTTGTTATTTGCCACAGGCCACAAGGAATGGTTTTCTTCAGTGGGGACAGGGCTGATGGGAAAATGGTTGAAGCTAAATATAGGGTAGTTCTGAAAGAAAAACCTGTAAGAAACTATTAAAGTCTTGAGATTGAGGTGAAGACTTACCTTCCAGGAAGACAATAACCTTTAATATTTAGTCTAAATTTGTAAAGAACAGTGTTTTTTTGGGGGTTGTGTTGGTTTGTAATTAGTGTTTGAAATATGAGACCATTTGGTTATGTCTGAAAGCTATGAATGCTTTTCCAAGGCATCGTATGTGTCTCTTCTCAGAGTTTTTCTTGGATTTCAGCTGTTTTTTATTCAGTGGGCCTTACAATCTGTCAGTCAGGAGTTTAGTGATAATAATCCCAGAACCAGCAGATATGCAACTGTTTTTTAAATTTCTTTGTTTTCAAGTGTGTTTTTTTGTTGTTGCTTTTTTTCAGGCTTGACGGATGAAAAAGTGAAGGCCTACCTCTCACTGCACCCGCATATGCTGGACGAGTTTGTGTTGGAAAGCGTGAGTGCTGAGACATTAGACAGATGGCTGAAGAGGAAGACCAGCAGCAGGCCTGCAGGTACAACTGTCCCACACACAGACCAACACATGCAGTGATGCTGGCTGCAGCTCTCGGGATCACTGTACATTCTAATTGGATGAGTAGATTTGGTTCAAATTTTTCCTGAGGCACAGTTGTAATTTCTGTAAAAATGTTGCGCTCTTTGACTTTTGGTAAGCTGCATACGAAGTTAGGATTTATCGGCCAAAATACCTTTCAGAAAGGTTGAAGGTGGAGGGAGGAGCTGCATGGCTTTCTGCAGTTCAAACAACTCAACTTTGCATGTGGCTTCTTTTAATTGTAGGAGTTTTATACATGGAAGACAGAGAGTGAGAAAGAAAGGTCTTTACGGGTCATTAGATGTGTTTGAGCGCTACGAATCTAGTTTGTGCCGCGCGCTCCACACACAGCAGACTTTTTCTTAGACCAACCACATCCATCAAGGGCCCACAGGGCTGGCAATCTGCCCAGTTGAGCTGCTGACGTCAGAGGCGACCTCCAGAGACATGCAGCCTACTGAAGGAGGCCCAGAGGAGGGGCTGGGATGGTGGTGGTGGTGAGGAGGTTGTGCTGGCTCGGGGCGTAGGGTGTGCTGGAGGAGGAAACTGGCATAGGACAGTTTTGTCACATTTTGGAGCTGCCTTCTGCATGAGGTATTCTGTATTTGTTGCCGCCATGTAGGGAGACTGGTTGTTAGAGTCTGGGACTCTGTTTTTAATAGTTTCCTGTGTGCTCCATGAGCGCATATTTAATTTGACTGATACCAAACGGAGACCATCTTGTTAGCAACCCTGACTGTTACCGAGGAGGATAAATTAAGTTTATGTGAAAGCTTCAGTAAGCGGGACATTTCATAACATTTAATCATATGACTGACATGTAATTCAAAGTTTAAAGAATGTTTATGTTAAATTCTTTAAGTTGTTAGAAATAAGATTCCCTAATTGTTTAAGTTTTCCAGTGTCTGTTTTTTTATTTGCTATAGGAAAGCTTGGATGCAGACAGAATTTAGAAAGGGTGATAAAAACATACCTCTATTTTTAATTTTAATCTAACCACTGATGCTGGTTCACAATTCAAAGCTGTTGATTTATTGAAAAAATATGATAAAAAAAATAATTACTACATATAGGTAAAATAAAAAATTTATGTGATCTCTGAAAGAGATCACAGATGGCGAGGGCACCATGCAGGGAGCTGGAGTCACGTGACTGACGGGGAGCAAAAAGTAGTGATCATGAGTACTAACAGTCAGTTAACTTAGTTCACTATTAAGTCCCTGCTCTACATAGTGATTAAAGGGTTTAGGGCAAACATTTGGACACAGCCTTAGTGTCCAGAAAGACGAACAGGATAAAACTAGGACATGCAGGATTGATTCATGAATGAAACGCACAAAAAAAGTTCCTGTAATAACTTATCTACAACATTATTTCAGAGACAGTGAAATTTTTCATGTAACATAATGAATGATGACTCATAGGTCTACTTTGATTTAAATTCAAGTAGGTATTAACATTATCTAAACAATTATAAATGGAATGAAGAAGATGGACCAGATCTGCACATGTGCAGGTAAAGTGATTATTTAAATCGAGTGTATGAAAGTTTCCACAGAAACCTACGACGGAGTATTAGGGCCACACATGAAGAGAAAAAATATTTTTGCCATTACGAGATTAAACTCGACATGTCAACTTTAAAGTCGACATGTCGACATTAAACTCAACATTTCGAGAATAAAGTTGAAATGTCATGTTGAGTTTAATCTCGACGTGTCGACTTTAAACTCGCTCTGTCGACTTTAAACTCGCCATTTCGAGAATAAAGTTGAAATGACTGACATGTTCTCAAATTCAGAACTGCGAGCCTGGGTAAGCATAGGGAAAGACGTTACGTTATTATTGGTAGGCCACCGCTTGCTGTGATGATTATACAGTTGCAGCACGTCAAAGACTACCTTCACTCTTAAAATGCAGACTGCAGCTGTGGAGCGCGGTTGCTCTTTTCTCCAAACTTTGGAATGTCGAGATTAAAGTCGCCACGATATATCAACTTTATTCTCGAAATGGCGAGTTTAATGTCGACATGTCGACTTTAAAGTCGACATGTCGAGTTTAATCTCGTCATGGCAAAAATATTTTTTCTCTTCATGTGTGGCCCTAATACTTACTAGGGTTAAACAGCTTCAAAAGTTTATTTTTACTTTTTACTTTCAATTTATTATAAAGTGTGACTTAAAATATAAATGCCAAAATGTTTTTTAAACCTGATGGTTTCAAATGAGTCAATAAATTTAGTTAATAAATAACTGCATTAATAATGGTTCAGGTGACTTTTGACATATTATATATAAACTGTGTTTGTACTTTTCTTAAGCAAAAGGAACATATATAACATTTAGTCTATGGATTTTTAATGAATCTCACCACATATGAGATAAAACAACATTAAACTAATTTAATTAATTCTTTCCAAGTTTGTGTAATGCGTAAAAATACTCAAAATAAATTTGGAGAAATACAACTGCTATACCAGTTGAGGATATTTCGTTATTTATATTTAAAATTGGTGCAAAATTAGCCAAGTAAATAGCCGAATATAAATGTACCCAGAGAGGAAAAAAAGAGGTCAAAAAAGACAGGAATCAAACACAGGACAGTCTTTCTGCAAGGCAACATTGCAGGTCCCTGCTAAAATGTGCATAATATCCTGCTTATTCTGTACTGCCTAAACTGGAAAATTGTGGATTTTAACCTGCTGAAATTTTTTTTTAAGAAGTAGAATATAAGAAGATATTAGAACATCATTTAGAATATTTTCATGCCTTTCTGTGATGAATCTTTGTTGTAATTTTTTTCACATCCATACATTCAGCTGGTCATTGCTTAGAGGTGATTAAGGAAAAATTAACTTCTTAGTTGTTGTTACCATATAAATACATAAAAATGTTAATATCAATAGCGGATACATGTAATGAAACCATACATGAGATGTAATATATGTATATAATGGCTATATATGACCGATAAAAAACATATATGTCCTTTTTATTCAGGATAAAAACAATTATTTATTTTTTTTTGTAAAAATTTAATAAATCCAGAAGCTCTAACATTGTGCCATCTGCTTCTCTGTACATCACTGAAAAATTATTACTGAGTGTGCTTCCTCTGTTAGACTATGATGAGCAGACCGTTCGGCTCCACTCTGAAGGGTCTCTGTTGCTTCCTCTCAGTGGCCATAAGCACTAACTCAAATCTAATTTCTGGTTCCTCAAACAGCGTAAAGGGTCAGTGTTCTGAGCTGATGACAGAAATATATGATTTGAAAATATTGAATATATTTTTTTTATTTGTAGTATGAGTGTGATTGCTTCAATTCTTAGGGACCCTGACGGGAGTACACCAATATAAAGCAAATATGTCTTTATGCATTATTATTTAGAGGCCAGGCATTATAGTGATTGATCTTATATTTTTATGAGTGTAGCAGCAGAAGGAGGAGCAGGAGGACTTGTCATCATGTGATCGTCACTGAGATAACCACTGCTTCCTGGAAGCAATCCCTGCAGCCGGGCTTGTTCTCACTTATCATGTGACGGACAACATTGGATTATATAAATCAGTTTCTCTCTGCATGCACACACCAGTTTTTTGCTGTTATGTGTGTTCTTTCAAAGGTTGTATTACAGTCTATACAAAGTCTCTATATTTATGCACTTTTATAGATAGTAATCTGTATTAATATTGAGCTTTTACAAAAAAAAATATCCTCATACTGTTATATTATATTTTTTAGTTAAGATTCTTTTTTTTCCCTCTTTAAAATATGACTTAGACTGCTTAAGAGAACATTACAGACCATATATATTGTGTCACTGTTTACTTTGTCAATTGATGTATCTTGGGATAATTAATTATTCCCAATCCCTTTGCTACGTCCATCCAGAAGCCCCTGGATACTCAGATGTTGCTTTTCTGCAAACAGAAATAAGTTCAAAGAGGAAATATACAGTATCTCCCTCTGTTCAAAGGCTCATAAAGGTGAAGCTGTTGGGTAAAATTTAATAATCTGCATTTGGAAAATTGACTTTTATTGTTTTTAGATTCAATGTAGAGTAACTGGGGGGGTAAGAAAAGCATTGTTTAGAAAAAAAAAAAACACAACAGAGTCTTTATAAAGTCTTTTAATTAACTATTTTATTGTAGAGTAATGAAAGCTGGATATGCAAAGTAAATTGCTATTCTTTTCTCTTTTTTTTTGTTTTAATGCCAGAGGGGAAAAAAAAAACTGGGCCGAACCTTTTAACAGCTGATACCGTTTCCTGAGATGTATTTAGAGGCTGGTCACAAGCACACATGCTGGTTTTGTGTAGCAGAGGCTCATGGCTCTGATAAGAGAGTTGGCTCACCTGCAGGGCTTTCCATCCGGTGGAAGCACCCAAGAAAGGAATAAGTTGATGCTACTTCAAACACACACAAAAAACACCCAAAAAAACAAGATGCTAGTGTCTGCAGAAATTTGGTCTTTATTTTTCTACTTGTTATACATTTGTTTTAAACCTCCCTCTTATAATGCGTGTAAAAATTAAACATCAAATCATTTTACTTTTTTTTTCAGCTCATATGTCCGGATTAACAATTTCAACTCTTTCATAAATGTCTAAATAAAAGCATCTAAATGGTAGGACAGCCATCTTGATATCTTGTGTTACACAAGTCACCTGCTTTGCTTTTGATAGCCACATGGCAACAAGCAGGTCAATGCAGGTCAGCCACAAGGTGTTGACCGCTGAGTCACTTCTAGTTAACCATCCTGTGGGACTCTGTGGATCTGTGGCAGCAGATCAATAAATCTCCCATTAAGCATTGTGCACATTAGACCTAACTCCCTGAGAGGTTATTCTACCTGTGAAACATTGAATATATGCATTGAGATGCTCATATTCTCTGCTTGGGACGTTTATCACCACATGTAATTATTGATCATTAGGCTGGAGTAGATACACCATACGT